GTGCCAACTGTCTATACACAGGTTTCTGCCGCATCCCCCTGCCTCCCGGCCCTGCTTAGCTGCTGCAGAAGCAATACATTCTAGAGCCTCCTGATTAAACAACGCGATCAGAGCTGGAGGAATAAAGCTCCGGGTCTTGATAGCCGGGGTGCAGCCACAAAGTAGGGGTGGTGCATATGTGTTTTCTTTAAATAAGTTGCCTTTTCAGGACTGCCAGTGGGGCGGGAGGATCCCTGGTGATGTAGTGGTTACGCCTTGAATTGCGATCCGCACAGTCGGCAGTTCAAATCCACCCGCAGCTCTGCAGGAGAAAGTGGATTTTCTACTCCCATAAATAGTTAGTCTTGGAAACCCCCAGGGGCTGGGGTGGAGGGTGGGCTGCTGTGTGTTAGCATTGATTCCATGGCTTTGAGTTTGAGTGGGGAGGGGGCTACAGGAAGATCAGCCAAGAACTGCCCCCCCCCCCAATGGTCATTATGGACAGCAAATGCCAATGCCATAAGCCATTAGACAGGGTGGATTTCTGGCTTTATGTCTTTCCCCATTCTCTGTCCCGTGCCCCCCTTTCCTCTATGGAGCTGATCAGTAGAGAACCTCCAGTTTCACCCCACCCCCACACACGCAGGGGCATTCCTCTGCAGCCCTCCTGGGGGTGGCGAACCCCAAATGCAGCCTGAGTGGTCATTGGCCAGTTCTCATGAATGAAGGGAGGTTTCCTTTTAAGAAGTGGACTTCTCAGGGGTGATTCACTACCCATAGGAAGATTCTGAGCGGAGGAGGCTTTCGAGCCTGGGTAGAAATTTGCATACAGCTGCCACTTCCTGCTTCGAGCCTGTTCTGCCACTTACCTGGGCAGGGTCGGGGCGGAGGGGGGCGGGCACCCCCGAGAGCGACCAAGGGGCCGAGGAGAGCGAGCCCAAGACCACGCTCCGGACCGGGCTGCCTGGCCCTGGAGGCTCTAGGTAAGTTACTCCGAGTCGCCCAGCTCTCTTTCTCAGCCGTTTCCCCAAGCCCTGGCCCTGCTCCTTCCTCCCCGCCTCCGCCGGTGCTGGTGCGGAGCAGCTCGGAGGAGAAGCTCCTTTTCGCCCCTGAGAAAGTGTTGGTGGTTTAGTGTTTCAGACCGGCGGGGAGCAAAGATTAACTCTTTGAGGGGAGGAGGCCATATCCTGTCCTTCTCAGAGCTGCTTGGGAATCATTTGCTGGGGTACTTGGTGTCCCTCCGAGTTCTGCTGGAGAATATGATCCCCACTTCTCCCCGGTCGCCCCTAAGTCTGTTGCCCCAGAACAGGGAGGGCAGGGATTAAGCCATTGGCTCTCAGCCACCAAACACGTCAGTGGCCAGGATGGAGGGAGAACTCCCATGTTTTCTGATCCCCTGTTTCATGCTGGAGAGAGAAATCAACAGCACATTCTCCTGCCAGGAAGTCCTGCTCTGTCTGGACGCTGTCCGAGCCCCTCTCCCGCAGCCCCTGCCTCGCAGCCCGTATTTGCCGGCTTGAACATAGAAGCAAAACAAGCGTGTGCGACTTCCTAGGTCAAGATGGTCTCAGAACATGGAGGGTTTTTGCTTTTTGAGGTTTTTTTTTCGCATTTTGTTTTTAAGGAAGAGAGAAAGACCAAATAAGTAATCAAAAGAAGACCAGCAACTTGTTTTTTACCTTTTTACACTACTTTTTCCTGGCACTGTGACTTGGGTAATTGCTTTGGCTTCCCAAGGCCTGGATTTTATCATTGGTGGGATGAGTGGTTGGAGGGAAGGTTAGGGACTGAGCTAATATGATTATGTCTAAATTCCCTTCAGGCAAAGCAGGACTAGGATAATGTAAGGGTTACGCCCGATGGGTGGTCTTGGAAAACTTGGTACTCACTGCCATCGAGTCGATGCCAACTCATAGCGACCCTACAGGACAGGGTAGAACTGCCAGTGGGGCGGGAGGAGCCCTGGTGATGTAGTGGTTACGCATTGGGCTGCGATCCGCACAGTCAGCAGTTCAAATCCGCAGCAGCTCTGCAGGAGAAAGACTGGATTTTCTACTCCCATAAATAGTTACAGTCTCGGAAACCCCAAGGGGAGCAGAAAGTCTTGTCTTTCTCCTGAGGAAGTAGCTGGTGGTTTCGAACTGCTGACCTTGCAATTAGTAGCCCAAATGCATAACCACTACACCACACTTGATACTGCTTACTAATTATTCATATCTGTTCATTCGTGTCTTTGGCTACTAGATGGCTAGCTAATACTTTACTAACCTCTTCCCTGAAGTAGGAGCCCTGGTAGTGCCTTGAGTGTAAGCACTAACTGCTAACTGCCTGGTCAGTAGTTTGAACCCCAAGGGAGGCATCAGGAGAAAGATGAGGCTGTCTGTCCCCATAAAGATTTACAGTCTCAGAGACCCTAAGGAGCATTCTACTCTGACCTAGAGGAGGCTGTGAGTCAGAATTGACTGCAACGGTGGCTGTGGATACACCCAAGCACCCGACATACTCGTAAAGCTCACCTAGGTGTTCAGGATCATTCCTCATAAACTCTGGTTTCTTTTTCCCTCATCCACGCTCAAAGCAACAGGTAAGGCTGCCTGCCCCCAGGGCCAAAGGCTGGGCAGCCACTTGACTCTTCTGAGAGCGCTTGGAGTCTAGATGCTGTCACTGGATTTTGCTACATATGGGAGAGCATTGTTTTTTGAGTTAGTTTTTGTTCTATTTGGATTACCCAGGAAGACTCGTCCTGGGCACTTGCCCACAGAGTCAAGGTACACCAGGGGGCCAGCAGGAAATCTTGGCTTCAAGCAGCCTGTGTGACTGGCATCCGGCATCCTCAGTTCGAACAGTGACAGTGGGGGGCCTTTAATGTGAAGTAAAAGGAAAGAAACAGTGATTACCAGTTGAGCTGCGATCCCAAGGTCAGCAGTTCAAAACTACCAGCCACTTCTCAGGAGAAAGACGCTTCTCTCTACTCCCATAAACAGTTCGTCTCAGAAACTCCCAGGGGCCATTCTACCCTGCCCTACGGGGTTGCTAGTCGGCATCAACTTGACGGCAGTGAATTTGGATTCGGCTCCCAGGTTAGGGACTGATGACGGTGATTAGATGCATCATTAGATGGCAGCTGCACAGAATCTTTAACATTTTCTGAGCCACTACTTTTTAAATTGTCATTGTTTATTTGGGGGCAATGACCAGGCTGTGACTGACTGAGATGGGCTGATTCAGGAGGGCTTTCAGTAATTGCCGAGCCACATCAGCGGGATAGCGAGGCGCCAGCATAACAGGGGCCAAAGGAGGCCTGGTGGCACCATAGTCACGTGTTCTGCTGCAAATGGAAGGGCTGGGGGTTCAAACCTACCCAGTGGGTCCAGAAAGAAAGGCCTGGCCTCCAGTCCATACAGATGAAAGGCGCTGCCCTGGAGTTCATAGTGGCCCCAGAGGCTTTCCCAGCTTGTAATATCTTGATGGAGGCAGACGGCCACACCTTTCTCCCGTGGATGGCCTGCTGGGTTCAAACCCCTGACCTTATTATAGGTAGAGCTTGAACCACTGTGCCGCCTGTCTGCTCGTCACATTGCCAGAAAACACCCGGAGCAGTTCTGCTCTGTCACCGGGACTCAATGAGTGAGCTCAGCAGCACGGATAGCAGTGTAGTCGTGGTGGAGTGTTTAGGTTGTTGCCGCTTTCTTTTCAGGGAGAGAGGCATGCACTTTTGATACTCTTTTTTTCTTTTTTAACCTGTAACGAGGTACTGTTTTCATTTTGAAAGGACCATTCTCTGAAATCAGGCTAACAGTTGTGCAGCAGCCCCCCTGTGATCCTTGTGCATCCCAGGCTGTGCCCCCAACGGAGGGTCCTGAGCACACCGAACTCCCTGCTTTGCTCCGTTCATTGCGTGAGCTGGGCTGCCTAGGGGTGACGTCTAGCCCGTACACTAAGTGCTGGGGGGGATGGCTCTTCATCCTGCAGTACTTCCGGGGGCGGGGCCTCCTGGACTGAGAGTGTTACAGACGCGCTCGCTCCTCCTCTCCGACGAAGGCATCAGAGCTAAGCAAATGCTCTGAAATGAAGAGGAGGCGGGGGCAGCCCTAACTGGGCCTTCTTTTAAGGAGGACTCATCACGCTAGCTACTCGGGGGCCGTTTGTCTAAATCAAATCTATGTTTTACACATCGCAGACTGGGAAGCTCGGAAATATCCCGAAATCAAGTCGTTTTGCTGCTGCAGTCAGTATTAAATTTGCCTTTTAAAAAACAGATGAATTACGGGCCACTGATATTGGGGGCACAGGGAGGGGCTGACAGGCGCATAAAGCCTGGAGGAGGCACATGAAACCTTAAATTCCTTTCAGATCCCACGAAATGACCCCTGATGGTTCATCTTATTTCCTTATCAAAACAATCTTGCAATCCTTCCGTGAGAAAGCGCCTGGGGGTTGGAATCAGAAGTTCCCCCACCCGCATGCTTCCCAATGTGTGGTGTCACTAAGATATTTTTAGCTCTTGAAGCCCAGGCTGCCCTTTGTGCTTCAGATATGCTCTGCTCTCGTGCCCAGCCAGGCCTCCTACTCAGCCACATGTGCTTCACTGGCTGCACGTGTGTGCGTGCGTGCGTGCGTGCGTGTGTGCATCCGAAAGTTGTCAACAGACTGGGGCAGGGCTTTCACATTGTTGCCTATGGACCTGTGGCCACTGGCTTGGTTCCCTGATACTGGTGGATGGTAGACCTGTACTCCTCTGGGACATGGACCTCCAAGCCTGTCCTCTGAGGCACCTCCGGATGGCTTTGAGCTACCCCCCTTTCGATCGATAGTCAAGCGCTTAGACCTCTGCCCCACAGAGGGACGCCGGGGTTCCCTGATGAGGCTGCTGAAATGAAGCTTTTTGGGAGTGGTAAGAGTTGACTTTTGAACCCCCACCCTGGGCCTCCCTCCATCCCACCAGCCGGCCTCCAGCTTCATAGACCTGGGCTGGCTGGGGTCTGGGCAGTGCCCTGGATGATGAGGGAAGCAACTCTTCTCTGCTCATTGTGTTGCTGCGCTCGGGGTTCCGGTGTGCGTCCTTCCGTACCCAGGCACAGCAGGCCTCCCTCCCATCTCTAAACTCCCTTCCAATGTGCTACCTTTGACCTGTAATACTCCTGCTTCTCTATAGCTGCCCTTCCGCTTTCTCCCAATCGCCCCTTCTCATACCCGACCCCCACATCCCACCGCCTTTGCTTCCGGCTCACTCACTCCTCACTCACTGCTATCCAGTCAATGCCGACTCATAAGCGACCCCCGTGGGTTTCAGAGACTGGAACTGTTCATGGGAGTAGGAAGCCCATCTTTCTCCCTCTAGCTGCAGGTGGTTTTAAACTGCTGACCCAGGGGATTGCAGCCCAAGCGTAGCCACTACACCAGGAGGGCTCCGTCAGAGGCCCTGTGTAAGGTCCAAGGCTGTGAATCGTTATGGGAGCAGACAGCCTCATCTCTCTCCCACTGAGCGGCTGGTGGGGTTGAACCACCAGCCTTGCAGTTATCAGGTCAATGCTTACTGAACAGTGCCACCAGGGGTCCTTTCTCTTACCCAGTAATACGTAAAAACTGTCGTTTAAACCAATCTCCCACATTAATAAAGAAAAATTTAAAAAATTACTCCAAGACGGTCCCCTCTCTCCCTATTTGCGCTCCTCTTCTGTGCTTTCTTCCTTTGTAGCCTTTCTTCCCCACCTGCTCTTTCCTCTTTTTAATGTTCTGTTTCTTGCAGAAACATACAGAATTACCACAAATGGGTGTTTCTATAGAATTTTTCCCTCACAGTTCAAGGTGGCTGGGAGTCCAAACTCAGGGCCCCAGCTCTAGGCTTGCCCCCACTCTCTCTGCTCTGGGAAGCCACTTGTCTCAGCCTCTGTAACCAGGATTGTTGCAAGCCTTAACGACACAGAGCCCCCCTTTGTGCCTGGGTGCTCCTGGGCCCTGGCTGTTCCTTTCCTATCTCAAAGGTAATTACGTTTAGGACACACCCTACTCAGATAGGACCTCCTTAGCACAACAGAGAAAATCTTAATCCCTGGGTTAGTTTGGGATGACTAGAGAAACAAATTCAGGGACACGCATGTGTGTGTATAAGAAAGAGCTTTAGATAAAAGAGCAATTGTATATTGAGAAAACACCCCAGCCCAGTCCAGATCAAGCCCCAAAGTCCAATATTAGCCCACATGTCCGATACCAGTCCATAAATTCCTCTTTAGACTCACTTGCAGCCATGCAATGATGCTGAATGCAGGAAGATCACAGACCAGTGGGTAGAAGGTCTTGTGGATCCATTGGCAGTGGAAGCATCTCAAGTCTCCACATGTCTCCTCCATCTCTCTGTCTCAACAGCAGGACAGGGAAGGCAGAGAGTGGGTCTGGCCTTCTGTGAACTATTTATCCCCTATGTGCCTCCAAATGAGGTCATCAAGCTGCGACCTAGTTGACAGGCTAGACTCCACCCCTTCACTCAAGTTGACAGGTGATTATGTAACTGCCACATTCCCCAACAGGGGTTAGGGTGTTCAGAGGTTAGGATTCCATAACATATATTTTCTGGAATTCACTCCGTAACACGACCCCTTCCTCTCCTTTCCTGTGCAGCCTGGGCTGAATCAGGGCTCACCGATGTGTGCTTAGAGAAACCTTATTTAAAATAATAATAATACAAATATACGAGTGGGTTTGCAGTGGCTTTGTAAGTGTCTATTACCAGCTTCCAACGTGGCAGTCAGGCCATTCCCATTATTCCACCTGTCCTTGGTTCGCAGCTGTTGAGGAGTCCCAGCACAGGAGCATCTTGAGAATCAGGTCAGGTCATGCTGTGCTGCCTTGGCCCGGCGAGTCTTACGGTGCAGGGTCCATGTTGATGGGCAGTTGGCGCTGTCTGGTCTCCAGGCATCCCATGGTTTCAAGTCTGCTGGCAAACCAAATGGAAGAACTTCTCTGTCTGGGAAACACTGCAAGGAAACTTGGGAAGATTGGTTCACTGTAGTCTGAATCGGAGCCAAATCGTTCACTCAAGACCAGCCTGCCACTAAACATGCCTGCCGTGCTATGAAGGTTTGCATGCACTTGGGCAGTCAACAAAGAACAGTAATGCGTTTAAAGATTTTTTTTTGTAATTCGTGACTTTCAGAGATTCATTAAAAAAAAATTTTTTTTTAAGTTTCCCTGGGGAATGAAGTAAGGCTTGATAATCTGTGAGTAGATGGATCTGATCCAAATCAGATGTGAGGGGCTTGTCTGCTGCAAGTGTATGTGAGCGGGCCGCACACAGTGTGTGGACAAACGGCATGAAAAGATAATGGAATCTTCCCACCACCTCCCCAAGCTCCTCATGGGCTCAGGTATTTATTATTTCCACCTGAAATATGCATGTTGCATGTCTCCGGGTTCTTTAACCCTCTTGCTGACCAAAACAATGCATTAAAAAAAAAAAAAATTAACAATCCAGGCGACTGGTGGACAGCAAGTCCCAATTATTTGGGATTTGGGCCGTGGCTTATTAATCACTCGGGCTACACGGGTCTCCCCTC